AGCCTCCTAGTTAGGCCCACTCCACGTGGTCACCTGTACTCAAGAGGGTGGTGAAATTATGCAGCATTCTTTTTTTTTTAACTCTAGCAAAATGGCGATCCAAAATTTAAAATGGAGCTGTAGAACTTTAAGACAATTCTGAGGCCATTACTGAGCCCTCAGTCTTAGTGCCTTAGTTCTCCCCGCCCCCGGGGAATCTAACCACTATGCACGCAGGGACTGAAATGTTGGGAACTTTCCATCTCCCTATGTCCTCGTGGATGTTCTTCAAATAGAGCTCTGTTCCTAGAATTGGGACAAGATAACCCACAGATTCCACAGATGTTTTGACTCTGTCCCTGGAAAGGGGTCAGAATGACCCCCATCTGGCAACCGCGCTCCAGCCCTGGCTCAGACCACTTGTGATTAGAAGCCCCCCTGAATAAGCCAATCCTAATAGTTGGAAAACAACCCCCGAATTCCCTCCCTTGTTTCTATGGCTTTTTGCTTTAAAAATAGCTTGTAACAGGCATTCGGGGTCCTTGGCATTGAATGCTAAGTGACCCTGCCGTGGCAGAATTAAAATTCTCTTGCTATTACATCAACTGCGGTGTGAGAGTGAATTCTTGGGGTGATTCCTCCTCGGTAATTGGACTCTAGGGTCCAACAGAACCATGCCTTATGGTTTCATTAAAATTACCCATACATACATTTTAAGTTATCAGTTCCCAGTGTGTAGGAGAGACCCAGCCAATCACCTTACTTGTAGGGCGGGGTCCCCCGAGGATATTTTTTACTTATAAAGATTGAGGGCGCGCACCCAGCCACCCCTTCTGCTTTCCTGTTCTCTGCTGGAACCTCTGGTTCTGTAAGTCTATTTCCCAATTAAAGCTGTATATATTATTACAATTTCTGTCTGCATTCATTTACGCCAATACACTAGTGTTACTAATTTACTTTTAACTAGTTTTATTTTAATTCTAACAGATTTTTGACATATATAACAAAATAAACTTATAAACCTGAAGCTACAGAATGTCCACATAAACCAAGTATAATTTTTTTTACTGTTCTGCTTTGTGTTCTTCTCCTTGTCATTGTGTTGGGCTCAGACTGACAGAGTGACAGGGTAAACTTTTAAATGAACATTGATCTAACAAAGAAAGAACCGTAATCCAACTCTATAGCTAGTTTTTCAATTAAAAAAAAAACAGCATAAAACAGTTTTAACATTATCTATACCAAAAAGTCATCTGAATTTCTGCTAAGTCAAATCCAGTAACTAGAGCTCAGAGATAAATTCTGAAGTCAGGCACATAAATATGGCCACAGCAGTGATGGGTGGCAGAGACAGCAAAAATATCCAAACTATTTCTGTCTCAGCTCCATGCTTGAAAGAAAACTTACATAGACAAACTTTCCAACAAAATAAGTATTGTCAGTTATTTGCAGGTATGAGAAACCACAGAAAACACAGTTCACAGCCTCTCCTGGCCTTCCATAACTTTCATATCCCTTTAATCCATTTTTCCTCTCTTCATTCTTTCAATCTCTTGCTTTCTTTCTCGCTTTCCAGTCTTTTTTGCTTTTTATCAAAGTCTTTCTCGGTTTTCAGACAAAATAAAAACTCTTACCAAAGCCTTTCAGTAGTTTATAATACATTGTATGGCTACAATATTTTAAACAAAACCAGAAACATGCATTAACAAAAATAACTTTAAATTTATGTCACATACAATCCTGTATGAGCATGAAACATCTGGGACTAATAGTAGTTAGTCTCATACCCTAGCCAATAGTAATTTGTAACCAGCCTCTCTAAATGGTGACAGATATTTATAACCTATTGGATCTGAATGACCAAAGGAGGAGGGAGGGAGGCAGAGAAGAGGATGGGCAAAAGAATGGTAGGATTTTTATTGTTCTATTTGGATGGGTGACTTCCTGCTCTCTGAGCTTGGTACATGGGACTGTTCCTAGGGACCCTTTCATGGATGTTTTGGCAAGTTTTCCTTCTGGTAAATACTTTGTTAATGTATTAAGGTGGGTGCATATGTCTTCCGGTTGTTTGTTTGCATATCTTCCCTCAGCCCTTAAAGATCAAGATGGAAATCCAAGTTTTGGTGCCTTTTTTGCCTGTCCCAGGGCTTTATTGCATAAGAATCAAAGCATATGTTTTCTCTCTGCAGTGATCCCAGGGCTCCAGGATGCTCCATGATGTGGGCTGATTCCCAACGAGGTTTTTCAGTCCTACATAGCTTACTTCAGCTTCCTCGATCCTAAATCAGATTCATTCCCCCACTACACCTCCTGACTTCAAGGGCCTTATTTCAGACTTGTGTGGCTGACCCCATGAACTCTTTCATTAGGCTCGAGGAGCAGACTACCCATTTCCCATCCTTCCTCGATGTGAGGAGGGAGAACTGCGGCACGGGCAAAAAAAAAAAAACCAAAACAAAACCCTTCAGAAATCCTCTCTTCTCCTGTATCCCACCCCTGCCCTGTGTCCTCGTGGTTTCAAACCATTTCCTTTGTAGATGCTGAAACGATGAGCTAGCAGCAGTGCAGTATCACTGTTTACATCCCGTCACAAGTGTAGTTGCTTAATTGTAAAAACTAAAAATAAAATTTTGCTCGCATATTTTGTTTGTCTCAGACTCGGCCATCTGACGGGTGTTTGCCAGTTGTAGGTACCACATTTTCAGTCAAATGCGGGTTAACTGGGGTCACGGCTCTGGGCCGACAGGATGGAGAAGAGTCAGAAAGAGTTGAAACTCTGACAAACAGTTGGTAGGGAAAGAAGGAAACCTTTCTTGAAGGAAAGCTAGTCATGAGCCTAAGCACTGTTGTTATGTGAGGGGTTCCTTTGAGACTGTCTTTTTGCTTCCCCTTCCCTTTGAGCCCTTCTGAAGCGTAGGGACCCATTCATTCTCTTAGCTGACTCTACTTTATCACTTTAACCTAGTCTCTCTTTGGGTCATTTCTCCTTCCAAGTTTGTTTCAAATTCCAGAAACAGAAAAGGTCTGTAGGCAAATTCCCTACGGCATAGGTAATAAGCAGGCTTGGTGGTGGGAGACCTGTAATCCCAACACCGAGGAGGCAGGGACAGGAGGGTGAGGGAGTTATCGCTCCAGAAAGTGATTTCAGGGGCTCCTGAGCACCGAAGCGTCACTAGCTTAGCACCTCTGATCATTAGAGAAGCCATTTATCTGTCTGCTCCTTTAGATTACTATTATTGCCCTTGTTTTCAGAATGAAGAAACTCAGAAGCCGTGTAGCCTCCCGTATAGGATGAGGCAAAAGTCTACCCAAAGGATGAGCACATAAAAGATGGCAGCGTGTTGGGAGAACGACAAGGGGCGGATGCTTGTGCCTCAACCTAGAGGATCACGTTCAAGCTCTTACAAACAAGACACACATGTCACATATGGTGAGGATTAATGGATTTCTATAAAGATGAGAAGCACTGAGGATGGGCAGAAGCACGAAGTAAGGCTGAGAGCTGAGATGATGACAGAATCCTTTTTGTCATCAAATAGAGCACGTTTGGGTTCCACGCCTACTGCTATCTGATAGGGGAAGGGGCAGGTTCAGAGTCTGAGTCAGACAACCAGAGAGAAAGCCGCTCCCTCCACAGGTAACCGCAGCAACCTGCCAGCTCTCCACCGGGGAATGGGCCCCAGGATGCCCTCTGGACAGCCGGGGATAGCTGACTTCTCTTTCCCAGAATGAGTGCTAAAACCAAAACAAAGGCAGGATGCAGCTGCTGCGGTCATTTCCTTGGTGCAGGCTCTCCTGAGAGATCCCAGCGGACACCAGAGGGGGTGGTCTCAGGCCTTCCCTCCCGTGTGAGAGTGTGGGCAAAGGACTCAAAGGTTCTGAACAGGGCATAGAGTTTCCTCTTCCTCACAGGGTAAGATAGGCTGTGAGCGATTTTAATTTCTGTCCAAAAGTTCTCCATCCTCCTCACTGTCCCCTCCACCACTAGCTCTAATGGAGGCAGATGGCGAGATGGGAAGACAACGTCGAGGTTGCCAACAAAGATGACTGAAGGAGCAGCTGGCACGCTGGCTGGCATTTGATCAACTCATTTAATTTTGTTGTTATAGTGGGTTTTTTTCTTTCTTTTTCTCTTTTCTTTTTCTTTTTTGTTTGTTTTGTTTTTGAGAGAGGGTCTTACAATGTAACTCTGGCCTCAAACTCACTATGTAGACCAGGCTGGTCTTGAACTCACTGAGTTCTGTCTGCTTCTGCCTCTCTGGGATTTAAGGCATGCACTTCCACACCCCGAATAATAATAATAATTATTATTATTACTACTACTTCTATTATTGAATGGCCTTTTATACTTTGATTACTAAGCCTCTTGGCACTGATGGTAGCTGTTTCTTGTCTAGATCTGGATGGCAAACACCTTGGGGGAACAAGATCAGAAGAGAGAAAGAGCCTGGGTACTGGAAAGGCTGTCCCAGAGAAGCCTGCATTAAAAAGTTGGGACATTTGTAGCTCAGGTATCCAACCCAGGGTTTTGAACATCCCTTCTCAGAATTAGGCAAGTGTCCTTTGACTTCCACAATGGAACCACCGTGAGTACTCTTGTGCAAGTATACACATACACACACACATATTAAATAGTAATCCATAAGAACAGAAAAGCATGTCAGTTGTGGTTAATAAACTCAGAAGGAAATGAGAACTTGCATGTTACTGAATGTCTTTGGAGCAGAATGAAGATGGGAGGGTAGAGTTATATTGGTTCTCAGCCTTTGCCGTGAAGCTTAAGTGAGGAGGGTGTGATCCTGAAATGGAGTAAGGTTAGCTCTGGTGCAGTTAGTATGGCCTGCCACTCAGATGCTCCAGAGTGGCTCTGTCTGGCTACATGGGGACAAGGGGTGTCTCTGGGTGAGTCTGGCACAGAATCTCTGACCTTTATAGCAAGAAACAAGAAACTCACACTAAAACCTCTCCCTAAGTTGAAATCATAGTCAGGATTTTGAAGATATTAAACTCAGTAGTTAATAGAATTTTGAAAGTCGTTTTAATATTAGAGAATAAATTCATTATGAATGATTACAACTTGACTCTAAAATTTAGTTCTAAAGCACTCACTAACTTCAATGAATTCAATTACAAACAAAACACCCACATACGCTGGGATGAGTACTTAATTTCTGTGCAGTCTAAATTCACTTCCGGAGAGAGTGTAAACTGACAAACAGGCAGCAGCAACAGTCTGCTTCTCTGCTGAATTATGGAAGAAAGGACACACCAGAGAACTTGCTTTTGTTTACAAACTACTGTGCAAACTTGCAATCGCTTACGAGCTGTCTAGCAAAATGGAAGTCCACAGCACCACACTTGAGGGGCGTTTCTTTAAAAACCACAGAAGCACGAGGGGACACCAACAGATGTGTCTCAGGTTTGTCAATGAGCTGAAGAAGGAAAGATCCAGGAGGAACCATCCTGGAGAGCAGACACTAGCTGCCCACCCCACCCTCCACGACAGTGGTCTCTGGGGTTCCGGGGCTCACAGAAACGTGAAAATTGGGTGTCTTGGGGGTCTCTGTAAGATCGCGGAGGGCCTGTGGATCCTTTAATCCCAAAACCACGCGGCTCAGAAGGCCTTTGAGTAGCTGCATCTCGCGAAGCAGGAGGTCCACTTTGGGCTGCAGAGCTTCGCGGGACTGTTCTACTGAAGTGGACAGAGGCGCGCAGACCTGTGGCCCGGCAGTGGGGACTTGGCCCGCAGCCAACTGCAGCCCCGCAAAGGTGCTGTTCGGGTCGGAAGTGACTGAGGGGACAGATCTGGACACCGGGGTCTTCCGGAAGGAAAGCGGCTTATCTCCGGGGGCTAAGGCTGCAGCCGGGACCGGAGCAGTGGTAGACGCCAGATCCAGGGCAGCGCCTGCAAGGCAACACGCCTGGTCACCGGTGACTGAAATCGTTGCCCCTAGTGTGGTGGGGGTAGGGATGGAGGTGTGTGGAGGACTGAGATGGGAAGGTGGGAATACTGCGGGAGGACTACGAGGCTCAGGAGGCAGGGCACCCGCAGTGCTCAGCTGTCACTCACCCCTCCCGGGGAGCTGCAGCCAGGGGCTGCGTTTCCGGACACTTCGAGTAGTGGTGGCGGCCTCGCACCAGTACGATTCGAGCTCCTCGACCTCGGGCTCAGGAACCATGTAGTCGGCGCCCCAGTCGAAGCGGCGGACTGGCCGGCTGTACTTGTAGAAAGCAAACTGCAGTGGCGTGTCCCGCTTCTGCGGGTGCAGGCGCGTCTCGCAGCGCAGCACCACGCGACCGCGCGCCTCCTGCGGGCTCAGCGTCCTGAGCACGGGTGTCTGGAACAGTTCTGCGGGGAGGGCGGCCCGGAGGCCAGGATGATCATTGAGTACGTGCAAGGAGTGATACCCAACCAGGGCCAGCCTGTCCACCGTCCTGGATCCCACTCTTTGCCTTCTCCAAGAGGTCTCCTCGCCGACCCAGAAAACAAGAAAGGATGGGAGAAAGAGAAGGGACAGAGAGACTGAGGCCATGGGGGTAGGCGGGGGGTGGGTGGGTGGGTGGGGGTGATGGGGACAATTTGAACGTAGGCAGGATGCTGACAGATGCTACAAGTTACATCCTAGCTGGTAATCAGCTGGCATTCTCTATATTTAAACGGGACAGCTGCGGTCCCTCTTCGTAGTAATATAGTACACCCTCAGACAAGTAAGAACTCAGCACTCCTACCTGATGTACGTCATAGGGAAGGAACACCTGCCTACACAACAGGCTGCAGAGGGCAGCCTACTACCCCTCCCCTTTCCAGCCCCAGAATTTTCCAGTGGTCGTCTCTCCCACCTTGCACAGTGACAGCCACCTTGGAGGAGAACATGGGCGCACTCTCCACTGGGATGCGCATGGTGCCGGAGCACTGGTAGTGACCGCTGTCACTAGCTCGTGCCTGTAACACCGTGTAGTTGGTACTAGAATGGAAGTATCTCACAGCCTGGCCATCATGGTAGTAGTGAAGTTTGTAGACGACTTTGTCGTACCAGCCACGGCAGCGCATCACCAGAGGCTCTCCCTCGAACACAGCAGCATAAGGTACTTGCAGAATTAGCCAGTCTGCAACAAACCCCACAGACACTGCTTACTCATCAGAAAAACCAGCCCTGTAGGGTATGGTGGAACACGCCTTTAGTCCCAGCACTCAGACAGGCAGAGGCAGGAGGATCTCTGTGAGTTCGAGGTCTTACAAAGTTCCAGGTTAGCCAGAGTGGTTACACAGCTGGCCTCCAACCCAAACAAGAAAACCCAGCAGGTCTCCCATTCTCAGCTTCCCTTAACCACTTCCCACCTCCCCTGCCCCCACATTCCCCCACCCCCACCCTGTTTGCACTCCCAAACCCCTTTCCTGTTTCCTGGTCTGGTGACTAGCACCTGGAATCCCCACGGTGCAGAAAGCTGAACAGGAGGAAGGAAAATGGTACCAGACAAGCAAAGATACCTCAGATTGGTTCCGGTCTCAGAGAGCCTGCTTTTACAATCAAGCTTAGTCCCTACAGTATGGCGTCAAGGCCTTCCTGACCGAGACCTGATAGCCTTTCCTGTTTCTCTTTTATCCACCTCACCACTTCCCAGCCACACTGAACTGCTCAGAAAATTAGCTCTGTACAGAGCCCAGGGCCCTTGTAAGCGGTTTCATCAATTCAAAAGACCCTGCTTCTTGGCGTAAATTGAGGCCTACTTGCCCTGCATGCCTGTGTTTAGGCCTTATCTTCCAAAGAAAAGGTCTCTAAGAACAGCCTTAGGTATCTCCTACAGCACCCTGTATGTACCCATTCGTCACTGTCACCACCACTGCAACCATCACAGCCACCGCCTCCACCACCACCACCTCCACCGCCTCCACCTCCACCTCCACCGCCTCTACCACCACCAATGCCACTGCCACCACCACCTCCACCACCATCACTGAAGTCAGCAGTTACTATCCTAGATGCCATTTTAGGTTTTATACATTTTAAAATTATTTATTTATTCTTTCATTCATTTGTTTGGAATTGCGTGTCATGCCTCTGTCTGTATGGCTATGTGTTCTTGAGTGCAGATGCCAGAGGAGGCCAGAAGAGGGAGTCATATCCGCTGGATCTGAAGTTACAGGTGGTTGTGGCCTAATTCGGGTGCCGGGAACTCAACTCCAGTTCTCTGCAAGAGTATTTATTATGTATACTTAACCACTGAGCCATCTCTCCAGGCCCTGCTTTAGGTATTATACACTGAAAAAAGAATCCTGCAGGCCAGGTAGACCTGTAATTCGAGCACTTGGAAAGCTGAAGCAGGATTAAAAGCCAAGGCATGCCTGGGCTTCAGATGGAAATTCTGTCCCCCAAATCTTTGCAAGGCACAGTCATAGATTCTGTGGCGTTCTCAATCTGTCTGTGGCCACTGTCTGTGGGCATCCCGGCTTCCACATGGGCTCAGACAGGAAACCTCTAGAAGTGTTAAATGATAATTTGAACATTAATCAGTGTTCTTTAGATGCTTAATAAAAATCACTGCCTGCAAAGGTAAGATCATCTGTCTTCCATACGAAGCAACTAATCGTGTATCTTAATGAGTACATTTTTATCCTGGTTTATTTGCTTCCTGCTTCATCAGGAAGACAAGGGGTCTTTTGGGGCTAGGAAAACTTTACTGCAGTTCTCCGTCTACTCCAAAGACTCAAAGTGGCACCGTGTGACCTTTTTCTTGTCCTTTAGCATAGCCTGGTGTCTGCCCAGCCAGGAGGGCCAGTATCACTAGGAACAACACTGTGTCTTCTCCTCCTCCCGTGTTTAGATCACTCACCATTAGACACAGAGAGGTGGATGGGGTCACTGACGGGAGCTCCCCGTGTTTGACATCGATACACCCCTGGCGTCTGCACCTCAATGCTCTTCTGGTGGGAAGGCAGGAGGACATGGCCCAAATACCAGAGAGTGCTAATGGGTCGGAGCTCGAGCAGAAGGGGGTGGTACCCGTCACAGCGCAGCGTTACTCTCTCGCCCTTGAAGATTGTAGTCCAAGGTGGCTGTAGAGACAATATGGGCTTCTCCAGAGTAGCTGGGGGTGTGGGGCATGGGGCGGGATGAGGAAGAAAAGGAGAGTGAGGTGCCTACCCAAAACTGAAGCCTGAGGTTGGGAATTCTTAGAAAACACCCGTTTCTGGGACCCAGTCCACATCTGAACCCACCCTGGCGAGAAGGGAGACCACAGTCATGGGACTCCAAACAAGGATTCTATTAATCAGAGCCGTTTCTGTCTATGCACAAGAAGACTTAGTCACCAAGATTGAGCAAGACTGGGGAGAAAGCACCATCTCAGGACAGCCGGGAACTGGGGCGTTTGCCCTACTGGAACTTATCAAAACTTGGATGAGAGATGTAGACGACTCACCAGCTTGCCCACTGCTTGGAGCTGCAAAAGCAAGCAAGAAAGAAGAAGGTAAAGAATGTTCTCTACGATAGGAAAGACTCTTGATCCCAGGAAAGACTGAATTGTCTCAAAGCCTGTTTTCCTTTGTCCAGGCCAAATCACCCAGCTCTGAGAGAGCTACCCCAGTTTCATCCTTCCAAAGCAGATGCTGAGCCATCCGAAACCAGAGATATGCAGAGCCAGATCTCTTATCCCACACACCCTGCCCTGCCCTACCCCGTTCCCCAAATCCTACTTATGCTACCGCAGCATCACCAGCTCACCTAGAAGCAGGAGGGCTGCAAGGGTCCACATGATGAGTCTGCCTGCAGCAGCTGTAGAAGATCGAGGATACGCTGGCACGGAAGAGGGACAGAGGGGGGAATATGGCAGCTAGGAGCTGATACTGAGACCTAGGAGACGCTGTTGCTTCGTCTGTCCATTCCGACTTCTTGAAGATGGTGGAGTAGAGAAAGCAGGACATCACCTGAATGCGCCACTCACTTATCCCTAGCACCAGGCACTGTCCCAGTGGCTGCCTCTGGAGCCATGTCCCAGCTCAGTGCAGCCTGGACTTCTACAGGGAGGGCCTATAGAGCAAGCTGTGCCTTCTCTAGCACACGAGAACCCCATAGAACCCCAGGCCCCAACAGGTGCCTTCCGTATCTCATTCTCACTCTCGTCCTTTCCCTGCCCAGCAGTCCTGTTGATGTCCACAAAGCCCACCTTGTTTCTGCCTGATTCCTGAGAGGTCAATGCTGAGTTCCCTGAAGCAGAGCTCACATCCTCCCGCAGAATGAGTAAACAGAAAGGAATGATTCAACCCTCCTGCCATGCCCCTGCTGATCTGTTGTTCCCCAGTCAGAACTAGAAGTGTAATGTATTTTCTCCTCTTTCTTTCCTGGAATCCGAAACCCTCAGAAATCAGAAAAGCCTTCTCTTCTAGTTCACAATGATCTCACCTTATAGCACCTCCATTCCCTTGTGCCTGTCTTCTCTCCTTCCCCCAGGCCCTAAAACCCCTCCCCAGCCGCCTCTTAGTCCTCAGGGCTTGTGACCTGGAAGAAGAGTCACTACCTCAGCCCCTCAAAGGCGGCTCAGATCAGACCTCTGTGCTCTGGTTCTCCTGCACTCTGAGCCACGTGACCACACCTGAGCAATGGGGAGCCTGAATTTTCATGTAAATATTTGATGAAGTTTCCAGCCCGATAGCATGTCTCCCTGAGCTCTATCCTGCCCACACTTGCTGCTGTTTAGAACCAGGACACCTGCTTTGCTTGGAACTCTAGCAGGAAGGAGATGGGGGATCAGATCACCAAGATCGCATCCCCCAATTTTGCTCATGCACCAGGCGTTCCTCTGAGAATTCCCTGATATTTTAGGTGCAGCATGCTTTCTCCTGTGAAAATGCAAATGTCTCTGAGGATAATACGGCCAGTTGTTTAAAGTATGCTGATGCTTTTGGATCTTGCTTTGGGAGCAGGGTTTGATGGCGAGGTGGGGGTGGGGGGAGTGGCAGATAAGTAGGTCTGAAAAGTAGGAAACTATCTGATAAGGTGAGCAAGAGTTGGAGACAGAGCTGGATACAGAGAGCAGAGATGAATGCTCCCTTTAGGCAATGCTCTTATGCGTCCTGAACCCTGCCTGCTTCCTCATCTGCCTCCTCCTTTGGGATCAGTGTGGAACTCTGTCGTGGTATATTAAATAGGCAAAGATGTGTTACTTTTGTTTATGCTGAATTTATTTAATGATGTAAAGATGTGTTGTTGTTTCACCTTGCCTGCCTAAGGCACCTGATTGGTCTAAAAAAGAGCTGAACAGGCAATATAGATAGGCAGAGAAAGGATAGGTGGGGCTTGCAGGCAAAGAGAATAAATAGGAGGAGAAATCTAGGCTTGAGAGAGAAGAGCGAGGAGAAGAGAAGGGCTACACCCAGGGCAAGAAGCCAGGCGACTGCTGGCCAGTCAGACAGAGAGACAGTAAGAAAGCAAGAAAAGCTCTGAGGGGAAAAGTAGATAAAGAGAAATAGGTTTATTTAAGTTGAAAGAGCTAGCCAGAAACAAGCCTAAACAAGGCCGAGCATTCATAATTAATAAGACGTCTCTGTGTCATGATTTGGGAGCTGGTTGGTGACCCAAGGAAAAAGCCTGGTACAGGATTCATCATGTCAGCCACAGCTGGTCTCCATGGTCTGACTTCTTTCTGCAAGGCCTCCACCTCTACGACAAGAGTGCCATACACCTGACAGCTGTCCTTACTGCACATACAAGCGGACTCTGTTTTGGCTTCTCGTAAGCCAGAACAAAGATCTCAGCTCCTTTACCATATTTCAGAAGAAGTCTGATCAAACCATAAATTCATTCGCTATGTAGTCCTGTGAACTCACAGGAATCAATCACAGAGCCCTTTAACCACACAGATAATGCCCAGAGTTTGACCTGAAAACAACCCGACCAGCACTTGTTTATTCTATGCTTTCCTCCGAATTTCTCCCAAGTCGGTCTTCTTCCTTTGCACATTGCCAAGTCCTTTAGTATGCAAACAAATTTGGAAATTTTTGTTGTTAGGGTTTTGTTTTTCCCCTTTAAGGGCCTTGTCATACTGCCTGGCTTCGTCTCAAGCTCTAAAGTGAGCTCCAATGTTCCTCTTTTCCTCAGCCCTCTACGCGGTGGGACAACCAGCGTGCATCACCACACTGGGCTTGAGTAATTCTTTGACTTCTTTGAAGTCTGTCCCAGCAAAATTTCCTGGCAAGATATGTCACGATTTGGTAAGGACTGTGGTAAGTAGACTGCTCTCAGAGACGACGTGGGGTAAGGAGAAGAGCTCACATGTAGGGAGTGCACCAGTGTGTGACCGGTACCATGTTCATACTTCACACGTATGGAAAATTACTTCATTCACTCCTCACGGGGGTCCTCAAGGGAGGGATTATTACTAGTTCTGTTTTACAAATGAGGAAACTGAGGTGACAGAAAACAGGGATGCTTGGGGAGAAGCACACTCCAAAATCTGTTCTTAAGTCCATCTATGGTTAGGGGTCCACGGTGCTGAGCAGGGAAGGCTGTTGGTCTTCAGCCTTTGTAAGTTTCCTCTCTCGGGTCCTTCTTTTCTTACTGTTGTCTTAACCATCGAGCCATCTCTCCATCCCCTATATGTTTATATATTGAATCTTAGGAAATATTTAGCATTAGTAATTTACATAAATGGTGTATTCTGAATGTTTTTCTTTATTTAAAACTAATTCCATGTAAACTTCATCCTTGCTGCTCTGTGTGCATTACATTTATTGCTTCATGCTTCCACCAAGTGGTCCTGTCCACTCCCTAATGCCCTGGCTGCCTCCCAATTCTCCACTGTTATAAATACTACAGTGAACTCCTTTGGTGCATACTGTGAGGGCTGAAGGGAAGAACTAGAACTTAGAAGCCTTAAAAATAAACCAGCACATAGTTCTTGTGCCTTCTACACTCAGATCCTTCCTGGAACTCTCCTCATAGACTCACCCAGTAGCAGGGCTCTTAACTGATTCAATATCTAATCGAGTTGACAATCAAGATGAATCATCACACCCTTGAAGATGCTAGGCAGCACCATAAAATTCATTTTGCCATCCGTGTGATCCTATTTCTTTGTTTCTTTGTAGTATATCAAAAGTGATCGTGTATGTGTTTGTTGTAAATTATTACAGGCTACATTGTAAAAAATCAAGAGCACAACAGGAGCACAGTGGGGAAAACAACTCCACGTAATGCAGGATAACGTGGTAGAATATGCATCCGCTAAGGCCTTAGTAACGTGATGTTTTTAATTCATCAACCAAAGGTCGCAGTAACCAAGGTTACTGCATCATTTGCAGGCTAGCGCTCATCATTTGAGAATGAACAATAGTAGAGCATGCATAGAACAAAGGAGTGTGACTACGAAAGTCGCAGGAAAGTGAATGTCAGAAAAATAGCTGTCATCCTTGCAGAGATTAGCATCACTAACGAGAAGGCAAACACATTGCGGTGAGATAGTAGAAAAGATGCTGGAGGGAGAGAGAGCTCCAAGTGCCCGAAGAAAAAGGACCTGAATAGAAAGAAGTTCCTGGGGACCCTGCTGGCAAAGGACTGTGTAGGAAAGTGTTATTGTAGACTGAATCACCCACTGTGATCATGATAAAAAGACAGCCTGACTACCTCCCAGCAGAACTTCATGCTGTCTACACGGTGCTGGCTTTGCAGGCATGCAGTGACAGGGGTCATGAAGGATTGCATTGAGTTTCCAGATAGAAGTCTGTGAAACAAGGCAATGTGTACCATGCATGGTCAGATTTCCTGTAGACAGCCCCTAAGCAAGCAATGGGGGATGCCGTGTAGGTGAAGCCGAATTGTACTGGAGACCTCAGGATGCTGGAGATACCAGATGTGGAACATCTGCCAGGAAAAGCTACAGGCACTGAGTGGAACTGGCCAAAGAGAGAGCCCATGTGTGCTGTAGGTATCAGGGCCACAGGGGTAGGGTTGCCCAAGCCCACTGAGGGTCACATTATGCCTCTGGACGCTGGGCATGGAGTGTGGTGGTTTAAATGAGATGTTCTCCACAGTCTGGGCATTTGAATACTTGGTCCCTAATGGGTGGCTGTTTAAGAAGACTTGGGAGGTGTGGCCTTGCTGGAGGAAGTACGTCACCAGGGCAGGCTTTGATATTCAAAAGGGTCATGACCTATTGAGTTCCCTTTCTCTTTCCTGCTCGTGCTCTCAGCCATCCCTGCCACTATGGCTGTGCTCACTGCCGTGGTTTCCTGCAATGATGGTGGTGGATTCGTATTCCTCTAGAACCGTATAAATAAATAAACCCTTTATTCCCGAGGTTGCCTTGGTCATGGTGTTTTATCACAGAAAAGTAACTGAGACCTGGAGCTATAGGACCTAGCGTTTTCCCCGCTGGGTTTCAGTCATTCTTTGGTCCAGTCCTTCCTTGCTTCCTCATTTTGGAATGGGAATGTTTTTCATGTGTCACCATCTATTGGGGACATGTTTTTCAGGGGTTCACAGCTAAGTTTTTGCTTTGAGTCTCAAAGGAGACTTGAGACTTTTGAATAACGTCAGGACTATTAGAACTATAGAGACTTTTGACATTAGACTGAATACTCTTTGTATTATGAGGTGGCCATAAGCCTTTGGGGCCAGGGATGAAATGCTAGGACTTGACGTCACAGGCTTATGTTTGGAATGTTCAGTGCTTGCATTTGGCACAGTTTTGCAGGCTGTGGAACCTCTTAAGCAGAGGAGCCTTCCTGGCAGTATTAAATAACATGGGGGTAGGCTTTAAAGGCTATACTTGCCCCTGTTTCTGACCATTTTTTTTTCTTGCCTGCCAAGATGTGAACATATACCCTTTCCCACCAGGGACTGAATCAGGCTACTGTGCTCCCCTGTTGTGATCGATAGCAGCCCTCTGAAGCTGTGAGCCAAGCTAAACCTTCCCTCCTTAACTTGTTTCTGCCATTCATTTCGGTCAAAGTGTACAAAAGCAGCTTCTTCAGTAGCTTTGGGGCTTTCTTCCGTAGAGATGCTGACCCTAATCATGAGGACTGTCCTTACTACCTAATCACCTCCCCAAGGCTCCACTTGCTCACACCGTTGCCTTAGGGATTACTATTTCAACATGGAGGGGGCAGCGCTAGGAGACAGCTCACAGCTGAGAGTGCTGGCTATTCTCTCAGAGGACGGGGTTCAGTTCCCAGCGCTCATCTCGAGCAGCTCATAACTGCCGGGAACCACAGCTCCAGGGAATCTGATGCCCTCTTCTGGCCTCCACGGGACTTCTACACATGTTGTATATACACACACAGACACATTAAAAAATTAAGATTTTAGCATAGATTTTTTAGAGGAGGAGGCACATAAAAATTCAGATCATAGGGCCAATTAAACACTAGTAATAGTCGTTGAAGGAGAGTAATTAGAAGAGATAAAGTGATTAACACCTAGCTTTTATTAGCCCTGCATTTATAGCTTTATCACTAATAAAATTTAGGGACAGGAAGTCTTTTATTGGCTGTTCTGTGCATTATAGGATGGTCAGCAGCCTCCTTGACGTGTAAATATCTTAACTTATTAAATTCTAGTAGCATATCTATCCTTTCCACCATGTGTAAAGCCCAAACATCTAGGGGATATTGCTTAATGTTTTCTGTGGGAATATAGGGAGGAAAAACTGCCCTCCCCCATTTGATATTGCAGTATTAAATCCACCGCCACTGCTTCTCTTTAAATTCTGTTCTAGGAAACAGAAAGAAATTCTTGGTCTAAGGTACAGAATAACCTTGTCATGGCAAAAGAAAATATACAGCTATAGGCACATTCTGGGTACCACCTTGTACGTGTTTATTTTCTCTCAAACAGCTCCATTATCCTAACAAAGTACCAAAGCAGCTCGCAGAACCATTTTTGCACGCACACAGTCCAGAAACAGCTGGAATTGCTTCATCGGTTGAGCATCACCGATGAATTAGTTTGCGTTCATTTGTCAGCAGCCTTCGTGACACCAGGCTTCAGGTAGACAGTCAAGTCCCTCAACTCCATGACCAGATGACCAAGGAGAACTTTTACGTCCTGCATTTGTTTGAGAAGAAGGCGCATCTGGTGATGGAAGTGGGGGTCGAAGGAAGAGAATCCCAGGTGTTCTGCAGAAGGAGTGGGTGGTGGAGGCAGAGGACCAGGGGGCTCCGTAGGAGGAGTCTCTGAAGCAGTTGGTTTCTGAAGAGCTGGATTCAAGATGGGAGGAAGCAGCAGGATTTAAGGGACCTGAATTATTATGGGCAGGAAGCATATACAAGTAAAGCCTGGCTGGGCATGATGGTGCGGACCTGTAATCTCAGTGCTCAGGAGGCTGAAGCCAAAGAAGCATTGCAAATGAAAGGCCAGCCTGACCTACACAGTGAGCTGTAGGTCAGCCAGGAATACAAAGGAAGACCTTATCTTAAAATAAATAAATAAATGAATAAATAGATAAAACCTATATAGGGATGATGTCTAACTCCGGCCCTGTCCTCACACTGTTAGCTACTTAGTGAGTCAGACACCTTCAGGGTCAAACTCCTATATGAATGTGTCTTCCAAGTGTTCTTTCTTTCACCTCCCCTAAAACTCTAGAATGAAACTCAGTATGCCCAGGGGTGTCCCCATCTATCACCTTAATCTTCCAAGCATGCGCTTCATTTTAGTGAGGCATGCCCCCAAATGTGCCCAATATCTTTTCTTAACACATGAGTTTAAACTGACCATGCTCAGAATACACCGCTTAATATCATTAAGAATGGGCCAACCCTTTCATGAGTAAAAATGTCTAATGAACCACCCCCCATGATTTCTTTGTTTGAGGAGGGCCTTGCTTTGGAAACAACGCCTGTCCTCTCCTCACCCGACGCTGGTTAACAAACCCTTCCCCACTCTCGTATGCTTCATCTATGCCTGTTTTGGTATTGAACTCAACAAGATGCGAACCCACTGTGCTTGGTCACAGACTCAACCTTCCCTCTTTTCTGAACGTGGCTGTGGTACCCACTGGCAGCCAGGGCTTGAGGACTCTTAGGTCCTTCCTAAGGCAAATTTTAGTCTCTGCTTGAGAAGCGTTAGCGAGGGAGCCCGCTATTAGACAGCCCGTCAATTCTCTCTCAAGCCAGAATTTAACTTCTGCAAGCTGGCCCTGGGCTCAGCCTTGTCTTGTGTGTGCCATCGGTCTAACTCTTCATCTTTGCTTCGGTCCTCTCTGAGCGGGTCCCCGAGACACCCGCTCTTCAGGATGATTATCATGAGTCCCTGCCATGTTTCACTTGGCACATTGTCAAGCTTTCTCATCAGCCTAGGCAGCTCCTTTTAGGTATGTCAGGTCAAATACGGTCTTCTTTTTTTTTTTTAAAAAAAAAAAAAACAAAAGCAAACAAACAAACAAACAAAAAAAAAAAAAAACCAGGGTTTATCTGTAGCTTTGGAGCCTGTCCTGGAACTAGTTCTTATAGACCAGGCTGGCCTCAAACTCAGACCTGCCTCTGCCTCTCAAGTACTGGGGTTCAAGGCATGCACCACCACTGCCTGGCTCAAATACAGTCTTCCTAATGGTAACTTGCAGAACCTGATAGACACTCTTCCTAGAGGTTGTTTGTTTGAGATGAGGTCTCACTGTGCCGTCCTGGCTGACCCTTTCTAGATATTATCTGCATTCTAGCTATGATGCTCCCATAAATGTTCATATTACATAGAATCCTGATCTCTATAGGGAGACACCAGGGCCAGCCCAGGTCTTGAATGGGTTTATTCCATGGTCTGAGGGAGACAGTCTCTTTCTGTGCCCCTTTCCATCACCAAGGACTTTGGATTACTGCCCCGTCTCTCCTGCATGCCCTCTTCATCTTCCTCCTCTGGGGTCTTGTTTCATATACACCCCACGGGCAAACATACACACTAACTCACCCTGCACCCGGATCTCCAGCTGAGAGCTCTGCTTCCACACTTGCCTGTCCTCAGTAGCTGCCTCGCACCAGTAGGAGCCGGAGTGCTCTTCTGAAGCTTTGGAGATCTGGAGTTCTGAAGAGACGTTCTCCATACTCAGTGACCGTCCATCCTTGTAGAAGGAGAAGAGGAGGCGGGAAGATGACCTCTGCAGGGACAGCTTTGTCTGACAGCTCAGGATCACTGAGCCTCCTTCGTGGAGCTCATTAGAAGGCGAGGCTTTGAGAACTGGGGCTGGGAACAATTCTAGGGAAAAGACGAGCAGTGAAGAAAAGTTTAGCCATCCTGTGCTCAGCAGACCCATAACTCCCCCACCTATTATTCTTTCCTCTGGTTCCATTAGGTAAGGGTTCTTTTCGAAAGGTCCCATTTGAACTTTTCAGCTTCTACCCCCTCCTCCTCTTCTTTTGTTCCCTTTTTATTTCTTTCCTCCCTCCTCTTTCTCTCCCTCCTCCCTTCTTTTCCTAATTCCCTCCCTTCCAGGCAGGACTAGAAAAGATCCATAAATGAGCAAATCTACAACAGCCTAGGTTCTGGCTCTGTGAGTACCAGGAAGCATAGATTTGGACGGTTCTGGTCTCCCTACTCCTTATCTACCACAGCAACACTCCTTCCAGCTCTCACCTTGGACTGTGATAGCCACAGGGGAGGCGGTCTCTCGGCCCCCAGGGCCAGGACTTCTGAAGATGCCACTGCAGTGGTAGAGTCCGCTGTCTGACATTTGCACCACATCGATAGAGAATTCTTTTTTAGGTCCAGGAGGACCCAGGGCTGAGCCCTCTCGGTAGAAGATGACCTGAGTCAGTGGCCAGTCTTGCCAGGCACGACAGTGCAGAACCAGTGGGTCTCCTTCAAATATGGCTGTAGCTGGACTTTGGAGGATCAGCCAGTCTGTAGCCCAGAGGAAGAGCGGAGTGTCATCCAGGTCCCTCAGGAGGTCCAAAGTAATTCTCTTAACAGATCCCCTAAACTTTCCAGGGCACTCTCAGCTCTGACTGGCCCACCTTAATGTTCCCTGTCCCCTTGAACTTAACTAACAGTGGCAAAGCCTTTTTTTTCTCTCTGCCCTCCCCCTCTAGTCCCAAAGTATGCTGGTAACTGGGGCACAGCTTTTGCTTAGAGATTGGACTTAGAGTTATGGATGGCTCACCACACCTCCTCACCCTGTCCTGCGCCTTCACGATTGACCCAATGTCGAGGGAAGAACAACTCTAGGGGCTAGGACTGAGGACATTCTGTCTCCTGGAAGCTGAGGATGGGAAACTGAGTACTTCCACCTATGCCCGGCTCCCGAAGGGTCATTTCCTGACTAGGCCGGCGATCAGGAGTAGTTTGAGACACTGCTCAGAGCTTCTTGGGACCTCACCATAGGAAACGATGAGATGGAAGGGTTTGCTGAACTTGTAGCCCTTGACCTGGAAGTCAGCGTCGCCGGGATGGATCACATCCTCCTCTTCCTCATCAGTGTGGCAGCTGCTATGGTCAGGGCTGACAGGTCCTTCACACTTCAGAGTCTCTGAACTGGCAGCTGAGGAGGGATGGCCCAGGAAGAGCCAGAAAATGATGCTGCAACTTGGAGAGAGGCTAGGAATGGCCCTCCACAAGGACTCCTCTTCTGACCCAGGGAATGAACCGTCTGGTCAGGAGAAGAGGAAGGTATCCAAACCCTTCTAAGAGACTCCTTCGGCCAAGTGGCCGTGATCTTGGCTCACTGATGTTCAGGCCTCCCAGTAAAAGGACTGTGGTTTAAGGAAGTGGGGGGCCGTGGGAATGAAAGAAGAGCGAACTCACCAGCACAACATCCAGCTGTTGGGTGAGGAAACCAACGGACAATGACAGCCATGACCCCACAGCAGGTAGTAGAAGGGAAGATGTACATCAGAGTATAGCATCCGCCGGGTGCTAACCGCGTGCCACACACTGCCGTCGCCTGCAGGCTCTATTTAATCCCCAAGAGCCTCTCAGGTAGTGACCCCGCCATCCTTGGACCATTTTTGCCCTTGCTGATGTTTTATGCAGTGTGCGGCACAGGCTGACCTTGAACCTGCAACTGTACTCCTGCCTCAGCCTCTTAAAGTACTAGATTATAGGTGTAAACTACAATGCCTGGCTTTCCATCCCATAAACTTTAGAGAAGCAGGCCTACAAAATCAAATTTAAAAGAGTGTAAAGAAAGACTTGGGGTGGGGGTTCACTGGGGAGATAGCTCAGTTGGAAAAATTGCTTAACTTGTATCTAGGAGGATCAAACATAGCCTTGTAAGTCCCAGTGCCGGGAGTTAAAGACAGGAGATGCCCAGTGGTTGCTGGCCAGCCTGCCAGCTATCCTGGGCCACTAGGTGATGACTAGGCCAATGAAAGACCTTGTCTAAAAATAAATAAATAAAATGGAAGAAAACACCTCTGGAATGACGTTTGAAGTTGTTCCCTGAGCTACACTAACACATGTATATATATGGATGTACACCCACACACATACAAACATGCATCCCACACATACATGCATGTAAATTAAAAAGGAATGAAGGAAGGGAGGGGAATAGGGAGGAGGGAAGACAGGTAGGCAAGCCTGGTGGGAGAATATCTGCCTAGCCTGCTTGAGGCCCTGGGTTTGATTCTCAGCAACAGCACCACCCCAAGAGTCAAGAATGGAGCAAGAATGTCAGATTTAAGTTCAAAAGGACTTAAATTTTACTTCAGTGCCCAAACATAGCTTATTTCAGTCCTTTGACCTTCCTTGGGACATCCGGCCCCCATTCTCTTTTTCCCTAAACTTACTTGACTCTTTAGCCTTGGAATATGTTGTCTACACACGTTTTCTACATATGCCCCTCTTCCTTCCTTGCTTCCCCTTTCAACTCTTCGTTTTTCTTTTCTTTTTCTTTCTCTTTATTTTTCAAGACAGTGTTTCTCTGTATAGCCCTGGATGTTCTGGAACCTTCTATGTAGACCAGGCTGGCCTTAAACTCAGAGAACTTCCTGCCTCTGCCTCTGGAGTACGCCACCATCACCTGGCCAAACCTTTGTTTTTTTTCTGTTATCTCTTACCTAAATGTCCTCTACCCTTGAACTTCCCCAGCAATGGCAACGCTTTCTCCATCCTCCTCTCTCCAGCTAAGTATTTATAGTTAGGCTGTACTGGTAACCTTGGAACAATTCTTTGTCTCCAGGGTGAATCCTGAGAGTCCTCCCCACATCAGTCTCCCTCTTAGGGCGATGACTGACCTGGGATAGATAAGTGTCCTTTCTCCCAGCTCTGACCGCTCTTGTCCCCTTAGCCCTTCTCTTCCTCTCCCCGCCCCATACTCCTGTGCGCCACTCCACTCTCTCCTGCCCCAGGCACCTCTGTTCTCCTCTGCTCCCAGTGGACTTCCCCATCAAGTCTACTTCCTAGTTCTCAGCGTTTCAGTACCCAGTGTTTCCTTTGCGCCTCTCACCCTCTTCTGTTGTGCTACCTTTTTTCAGTTCCTTCACTGTCATAAGACTACACTCAGCCTTCTCTTGTTTTGTTTCTCTAAAACAAAAGAAAACTCCAGGGCTGAAGAGTTGGGTCAGCTGTTACAAATACTTGCTGCTCTTGCAGAGGACCCAAGCTCGATTCCTGGCATCCACATGGTGGCACACAACCATCTACAACTACAGTTGCAGGGGATCCGACTTCCGTTTCTGACCTCTGCAGGCATCAGGCGTACACGTGGAACATAGATACACACAGATGAAACAGTCACACTTAATGTTAATTGATTTAAAAAACGTTAAAGCCTTGTTAGCATAGCTGGCATTGCCACTCAATAAACCTTATGTGGTCCTATCAAAGGTATTATCATTCTCTCTTTTTTAATTTAATTTTATTTTATTTTTTCAAGACAGAGTTTCTCTGTAGCTTTGGAAAATGTCCTGGAACTAGCTCTTGTAGACCAGGCTGGTCTCAAACACACAAAGATCCGCCTGCCTCTGCTTCCCAAGTGCTGGGATTAAAGGCGTGCGCCACCACCGCCCCGTCTATCATTCTCATTTTTACAACAGAGAAAAGGGAATTTAGATATATTAAAAGTGATTTTTGTTTGAACAGGATTTTGCATCCTGACCATCCCTGGAAGGTCTGGCATTTTCAGTATAACCCGGGCTGACCTGAACTGGGGGCAATCTTCCTGCCTCAGGTTCCCTAGTCCTGAGATTACAGGCACACACTACTTTGTTCTACCGCAAGTGACTTTTTCAAAGTGATACATAACTAGTAACTAGAAAGGGGGCTTGAAATTAGAGTATGTGATTCTAAGACCATATATAGTTCTTGCTACAAAACTCAAATCCCCGAGCCTCCCACAAATAGCTCTCGGTTTGGTGGAAGAAAAAACACGTGAAAGGATCATTGCAGGGTGTGGATGCAAGCAATAAGAACAAAGTGTCTCAGGCAGACACTGGGGCAGAAAGGGGGTCCCACAGGGTTTCTTGGGGAAAATGCTACCAAGGTGGTATAATTACCTAGAAGTTTAAAAAAAGAAGGGAACTGGGGAGCCATGGCAGAGTTCATTGCAGATGGAGCTAAAAATACATACACAAAGCCTTGGGAGCAGATAAGAACCTGGGTTGTGAGTAGAAATATGGGTTGGTTGAACCTTTGTCAGAGTAGCAGTGGGAAGGCTCTGGGGATGGTGGAAGAAGGGGCTGAAGAGGTTTAGTAGATGCCAGGTTTGGGACTTCATGTGCCATGACAAATGCTTGAATTTTAGAAGTCACTCTGGGTGCAGAATGAAAATTCGTTTCAAAGAGACAAGGCTGAGACACGATTAGTAAGGAAGTCATTGCACAACTTCAGTCACAGATGATCGAGGCTTGTCCCAAGAAAAGTATTTGTAGTGGTTCAGGGAAGGAACTGGTTGTGAAAGCAATTTAGAAGGTGAAATTTGCCAAAGTCGAGCCTTCAGAGTACGTTAAAGAAGGAGTTCAGAATGCCTCTTGGGTTTCTAGCTGAGATCCCAGGGGAGTCCCAGTGCAAGGGACTGAGATCAGATAAAGCAAAAGATGAATTAAAAAAAGTGAGGGTCTGGAGGACAGATGAATTCATCTCTGGTCACGCTGTGTTGGTACCTGTGACACGCACAGGTCCAAATGTCTTGTGTAAGGCTTAATACTCAAACACAAAAGTCAAAAGCGTGCTTAGAGCTGGGAGCGTGTCCTGGGGCTCTAAAACAGACAGCTGCTGCAGCAAAGCCATACAGACACACTTCTGCAGTCTCCCTAGGAGACTGTGCAAGAAAGAAGAGGGGGAGGGGGAGGGGGAGGGGGAGGTCAAAGTGTGGAGAACTCTGGAGCTCACAGGAGGGAAAGAAATCTACTGACGGACCACAAGACAGCCGAACAGCATACAGAGAAAAATGGACCGGAGTCGGGAAAACAGAGGCTGCAAGAGAGACTAAGCCGTCAAAGAAATCCATCCGGGTAAAATCTGAAAAGCTTGCAACAGCCTCATCAGTGCAGAGGCCCCGGACGCGGTGGAAGTCACGCTGCAAGCACTGAGACGTGAGGGAGAGACAGCAAGCCCACGCAACGCTTCCAAGGAAGTTGTACTACAAAAACAAGAGATAAGATTTGCGGCTGGCAAAGGATTCATAGTCAGAAGGGACTTTCAGGATGGAAAATATCTGAATTTTTCTATTTAAAAAGAGAGCCATTCTGTCCCGCACACCAGACTTGTCTTCTATCTGTCCTTGTCCCACCTAAACAGGGATTCTTTGAAAAGCCAAAGTCAGTCCATTTTCTAACCTTTGAGGGCTTTTCTTCCCCCTCAACATTAGGCCTGTCTCATTTCCACACCAACACTCACACATTCCTTACCTGGGAACATCTGGGTTGCCAGGAGCACTGCAGGACAAACATAAAGAGCCCATGCCCCCAGGACACAGCTCAGCTTCATGGTGATGGTGTTTGTATCTCCCACAACCCCAACATACTGATTTTCTTCTACACGAAACCTCTCAAATTAGAAAAGAGGAAATAAATGTAACTGTCTTGTCTCCACACACCTGGGGCCTAGTCTGAGATTGGCTCTTCTTACTCAGGTTGGACCAGGTTGGTTCTGATGTCATCTTCACTCTCCCGGTTGTAGATGAAATGCTGGGTCTCTCAACTGTTACAGAGAAATTTTTCTTTTCTTGTTGAGCTCAGGGACCTTTCGAAATGTGTTATTGATTGATGGTCAACTGGCCTTCATATCACATCTGGAAAAGGTCCTCATGACAGCTCGCTGGAGACAGGAAGTGGAAAATTAATGGAAGAAAACCACTGGGCCATGAGAGATGTGATATGGAAGTGTCCTGCTCCGAGCTTTACTTGTGTCCAGGAATTAAAATATGGCAGGAGACCTGCCGGGCGGTGGTGGCACATGCCTTTAATCCCGGCACTCGGGAGGCAGAGGCAGGAGGATCTCTGTGAGTTCGAGACCAGCCTGGTCTAGAAAAGCTAGTTCCAGGACAGGCTCCAAAGCCACAGAGAAACCCTGTCTCAAAAAACAAAAACAAACAAACAAAATAAAATATGGCAGGAGAGAGAAGAGGACTGATTGATAAGGGCAGAGGACAGATAAGTCTCTTCTGGGCTCAGCCCATCTAAAACCCAATAAAATTGTACCCAAATTTCTCCTGATCCGTGGCTTCGCTTTGTTTCTACAGCATAATGTAGGCTGTTTAGTCTCCGGGGAAATCTGAGTACAAGGCAGAGTTATTACCCTGGGAAAGAGCATAAAGAAAAAGAAAATCCGTTCCCAGAGGCCCCAGCGGCAAGCCTAGCACTTGGGTTCCCTGGCAAAGCTCAAAGCACTGATTCCAAGGAACCTGAAGACAAGAAGTACACAGCCCTTGAGCAACGGGATGAGACCGGGAAATGTGAGTGATGCAGAGACCACGGCATCTCTCTTCATCTCCATGTGGACTTACGGGAATCACTGCCCCTGACATCAACTGTTTGCTCAGTGGTAGAACCTGTGCCTCTTTGCACAGTGACCGCACTCCTCTACCCTCACTTGACACACTACTCACACCCAGGTCCAGATAGATTTGAAAGTGGGGTGTGCCATCAGAAATGTGGGGTTTGAAGGCAGAGGGCGGACTGATGGCCAGTCAGATAGAACAGATCACGGTAGAACAGATCAGGGCAGGCCAGTTAGCAATGCAAGCATGGGCGAGTACAGCTTTTCCCCTTCTAGTAGAAGCAGTTAGAATAAATTTTCCATTATGTAATAAGTATTTTTTTTTTGCAGATGGCCCCAGGGAATGCAGAGCTGGTCGAATATGGGCGTGGGGGAAGGCAGTGAGGCAGTAAGTTTTGCAGCTGATGTGGTGGATGTAACAGCCTCAGAAGAGGAAGAACAATCTAGCCAGCTCTATGAGAAGTCAAGCAAATAAACCATGTTTAGATGGACTTTCACCCTAAGACTGCATACCAGATCTTCTCATTAGACAGGACAAATGGATTTTGAAAAACTATGCAACCTCTTGTACATGGGTTCCCTTACAACCCATGTCATCTGCACTGGTCTTGACAGAACCCCATCCCAATGCAGAAAGCAAGGAGGCCTCTGAAGGTATCACTTGAAGATCATATTCTTTCCACTTGATTATCCACTTAGCCATGGAGAGGTTCACACAGTTGAAGCTCTATCAATGAACTGTCCTGAATAAATGTGGAACACCCATGTCAAAGAAACTCAAAGAAGCAAGATAGTTGTCCTAGGAAACAAATAGTTCATGGAGTTAGTTCTGCTACCTCAGATCACCTCAGACTACTCACAAGGACACGGGACAAACCCAACTCATGGCCAATTAGTACTTTGCGGCCTTCCTGGGTCGTTCTTGGCTGGTCACCAGTGGGCCCATTTATCTATTTTAACAAAATTCTTTGTTTACTTATATTTATGTATGTGTGTGTATACCTGCTTGTCTATACAGGTACCAAGTGCAAAAATTATTAACCAATAAAAGCAACACATATACAGAAGGACTTCCCATACCAGGTGTCCTTGAAGGCATTGAATCTTCTGGAACCAGAGTTGTAAGTGGTTGTGAACATGCCATGTGGGTGCTGGAAATTGTACTCTTGTCTTCTTCAGGAGCAAGTGCTCTTAACTGCTCAGTCATTTCTCCAGCCCATTTACTTTAGTGTGTGTGCACACATGTTTGCATACTCCAGGAGCATAACACAGGGGAACAACTTGTGGGAGTTGCCTCTTTCCTTCTTCCACGTCCTGCAGTTTTAAA